TATGGAAAAATATTTACAAATCCCTCATATATAAGAAAGTTATGGACCGGACACGACATATACCCTCAAATAGGGCAATTTTTGAACCTTGAATGAGCAAGTGTGACTTGACCCTGGAGGTAGGGGTCTGGGGTTGTTGCGCATGACCACATCGTCTTATTATAATAAACATTTGTGGCAAGTTATTTCAAATTCCTTTCATAAATGACAAAGTTATGGACCTGGACACGAAAGTGTGACGGACGGACAGAACGGACGGACGGACGTACAAACTTTTGCATATTTAAAAAGGTAAGTCAGGCTCAATAAACTATACACTGGACCAAAAGTCATAAGCAAAATCAGCTCATAATAAAAAAAAAAATAGCTCTTAATTTGAATTTTATGAAGCTTTTGTTCTTTATTTAACTACGGAATGAAGCTCATAAAATAATAAATGTTTGCTCGGACGGACGGACAGACGGACAGGACGGACGGAGCCCTATTTCTATCCCCTTTTTTTCTTCGAAAAGGGCGGGGGACAATTACATTTCTTTTTAAGAAAGGTGGTCTCGTGCAGTAAATTACGGGTTTTAGTATCAAATACAGCCAAGGTATTGATGTGTGTTATCAACGTAAATGACATTTGTATAATTAATGTTCCGTCATTTTTGCATACATTTTATTTGTACTTCCGGTTCACGATAGTTGCCTACTTTCGTTTTCCGTCCGATGATGCAAATTAAATCAAATTAATTGTAGTTTATGTTTCACTTTTTATATACTGTATTAAATTTTGAATGATATATTTTTTGTTCATTATGATTTGTAGTCATTTCAACGGTTAAATATTTGCAGCAGATTGCCGCTAACAACAAAAACAAACCTACTTCTTTGCACATTTAATCAGGCACATGTATATATACATGTACGACTGTCAACGTAATTGCGGCAGTTCCACGTTACTCGAATTCCGTTTCTCTCGAAGTAAAATGCCCAGTCCCTTGGATTTCGAGTAACCGAGAGTCAACTGTATATGCATATAGGGAAAATCAATGACCTCCCTGGGCGGGGCCAATTTTGACCCCAGGGCTTTTATTTGAACAAACTTGGTAGACACTCACTAGAAGATGTTTCATGCCAAATATCTAAGCTCTAGCTCTTATGGTTTTTTAAAAGAAGATATTTAAAGTTTTTTCTTTCGGTTGCCATGGCAACCAGAGTTCTGCATGGAATTAAATTCTTTGAACAATTTTTAAAGGTGACCACCAAAGGAACATTCCTGTGAAGTTTGGATGAAATTGGCTTAGTGGTTTATGAGGAGATGTCATTTAAAGTAAAAGTTTACGGAAGGACGCCGGACGGAAGCCGGACGAAAAGCGATCACAAAAGCTCACCGTGTCACTTTGTGACAGGTGAGCTAAAAATAGAGACACAATACCTAGGTTACCTGTAGAACTGGATGCACTTGTTGAAGGTTTAACAGTTTTACTTGGTGATCTATTACTGTCATTAGATTTACTTTCTGCCTTTTGTTCCTAGTATAAATAAAACATATAAATTTCAGCAACTTTATTCTTTACATCATAAATGTCATTAACTACCTGTATGTAATAAATCCTCAATAAGAGGAGGCTTTACTCTCACTTGAACATGAACTAAATGTTTAGTTATGTCAGAATACGTTTTGCATGTCATACTGTACAGTCAAAGGGGTATGTTCAAATATAATAGTGGGACTCCGTGGGCAGTTTGTTAATTTTGCCGACTTAAATTGCTCGACCCTCGTTGATGTGTCAAATACTGCCCAGGGATTTCAGATTCATATATGTCAGGAAGCTTTCCATCAAGCTTTGTTTCTACTCATGAACCTTCTTGTGTCTGAAATAACGCACAAAGGGGCACATCAGGTCTTCCTCCACCAGTAAAAATGTTGGTATGACTTAAAATCAAACAGTCAAACAAACACACATTAAATTACTATAATGACTAAGGTAGGTATACCTTTGCAGGTAGTGGTGTCTCTTCAACTTCCATTTCTTCATCTTCATCAGGTAGTGTAACAGGTGAGGCAGTCTCTTGTGTACCTGCCATATTATTTGATGCCTGTATAAGAGCTTCTCTCTCTCTCTTTGTCTGTTCTATAGCCTGCTTTATTCCACGAGCATCTATCAGTCTTCCTCGACCTAAAAATGTTCTTGGTAAATAAGGTCGTCTACATAACGATTGAGTTATCATCATCATTAATGTAAAAGTTTACATCATCATACTCATATCCCCCACTCATCATCATCATCATATCATTAACACCTTTCCGTAAAACAGAAATCACAAATATTCTCACCACTTGACAGTAAAAGGGGGCATAACCCTATAAAAAGGTAACTCAGAGTTATGGGACCTGTGCCCATCATGTAAGACAATCGCAGAGAACATGTTGGTGAAGTTTCAACCAATTCACTATGAAATACCAACTTCCACGCAGTGACCGTAATACAATCATCAAGAAACTCTTTGGAAGAGTGAGGCTTAGAGATAAAAACAAGAGGGCCATGATGGCCCTGAGGTCGCTCACCTGTATATACCCCCCCCCCGGGTCAATTTTTACCCAAGGGCTTTTATTTGAACAGACTTGGTAGACACCCATAGAAGATGTTTTTTCATGCTAAACATCTAAGTTCTAGCTCATTGGGTTTTTTAAAAGAAGTTTTAAGTTTTTACTATACACATATAGTTAAAAACAATGACACCCCTGGGCAGGCCAGTTTTGACCCCCGGGCTTTTATTTGAACAAACTTTGTAGATATTTACTTAAAGATGTTTCATGTATAATATCTAAACTCAAGCTATTTGGGTTTTTTCAAAGAAGATTTTTAAGTTTTTGCTATACACATATAAGGAAATCAATGACCCCGGGGCAGGGCCAATTTTGACCCCAGGGCTTTTATTTGAACAAACTTGGTAGACACCCATTAGAACATGTTTCATTCTAAAAATCTTAGCTCTAACTCTTTGAGTTCTTTAAAAGAAGATTTTTTAAGTTTTTACTATATGCATATAGGGAAAATCAATGACCCCCTGGGGCGGGGCCAATTTTGACCCCAGGGCTTTTATTTGAACAAACTTGGTAGACACTCATTAGAAGATGTTTCATGCTAAATATCTGAGGTCTGGCTCTTTGGGTTCTTTAAAAGAAGATTTTTTAAAGTTTTTACTATATGCATATAGGGAAAATCTATGACCCCCTGGGACGGGGCCAATTTTGACCCCAGGGCTTTTATTTGAACAAACTTGGTAGACATTCACTAGAAGATGTTTCATGCCAAATATCTAAGCTCTAGCTCTTACGGTTCTTTAAAAGAAGATTTTTTTAAGTTTTTACTATATGCATATAGGGAAAATCATGACCCCCCGGGGCGGGGCCAATTTTGACCCAGGGCTTTTTATTTGAACAAACTTGGTAGACACTCACTAGAAGATATTTCATGTCAAAATATCTTAGCTCTAGCTCTTTGGGTCTTTAAAAGAAGATTTTTTAAGTTTTTACTATATGCATATAGGGAAAATCTATGACCCCCTGGGCAGGGCCAATTTTGACCTCAGGGCTTTTATTTGAACAAACTTGGTAGACACTCATTAGAAGATGTTTCATGCTAAATATCTTAGCTCTAGCTCTTACGGTTCTTTAAAAGAAGATTTTTTAAGTTTTTACTATATGCATATAGGGAAAATCAATGACCCCCTGGGGCGTGACCAATTTTGAACCCAGGGCTTTTATTTTAACAAACTTGGTAGACATTCACTAGAAGATGTTTCATGCCAAATATCTAAGCTCTAGCTTTTACAGTTCTTTAAAAGAAGATTTTTTAAGTTTTTACTATATGCATATAGGGAAAATCAATGACCCCCCGGGCCGGGGCCAATTTTGACCCCAGGGCTTTTATTTGAACAAACTTGGTAGACACTCACTAGAAGATGTTTCATGCCAAATATCTTAGCTCTAGCTCTTTGGGTTCTTTAAAAGAAGATTTTTAAGTTTTTACTATATGCATATAGGGAAAATCAATGACCCCCTGGGGCGGGGCCAATTTTGACCCTAGGGCTTTTATTTGAAGAAACTTGGTAGACACTCATTAGAAGATGTTTCATGCCAAATATCTAAGCTGTAGCTCTTACGGTTCTTTAAAATAAGATATTTAAAGATTTTTCTTTCGGTTGCCATGGCAACCAGAGTTCTGCATGAAATGGAATTCTTTGAACAATCTTGATAGAGCTTCATACAAAGAGTATTCCTGCCAAGTTTCATTAACATTGGCCTTGCGGTATCATAGAAGATGTCCTTAGAATATTTAAAATGTGGACGGACGACAGACGACGGACGCCATTTGGTTGGCCATCCTAAAAGCTCACCTGCACTTTGTGCAAGGTGAGCTAAAAACAATACTACACACATTATCCAATTAACCATCAATAAATGAAGGTGCTAGAATAAAAGTATGATGGACAAACTGGCAAATTAATTCTCTGTCAATAAAGTTTTAGCAGGATAAAAATGCAGTATTGGAAGAGATATATTGTAAACAACAAAAATTCTATTCCATGCACTCTTTAGATTAAAACATCTTTATCAAGGAGGTGTGTCATACAATGTTATACTTCCACTTTTAAGCAATTTTTTTTGACATAGTAATACAGAATTCACAATATTTTCGTGTTACAAAACTTGACTTATCTACACAAAATTTCAAAGTGTCAATACCAAATCTGCTAAAAGCTTCCCTGACTTGTTCTTGTGTATACCCTTCTTGTAAAACGGATAATACATGTGGAGATTTTAGCACTTCATCCACTGGTGGATCCACTGTCAGCCCATTCTAAAATTGTAAACACAGGTTTAAACATGTGTTGCCAATTACATTCATTTATAAAATTCACATTTTTTTTTTTGATAAAAAAGAAATATAAAACACATTCCTGTTTTTAACATATTCTTTTACATATTATACAATGTATTATTATGATTTTTATTCATTAATTTTGAAAACAAGGAAATTTTTTAATTACCAATTAAATGTTGCTTTTAATATTCTTGAGTCAAAGAATTACCTCTGCACTTGTGATTTAAGTCCTTTTTCTCCTTAATAAAGGCCATATCTCAGCCATAACAATTCAGTCGTCTTTGGATTCACCCATGTAAGAATCAAGTTCTATCTACATGTATGTGACAAGATTGTAGCATTGCTCAGGTAGAACATGTATATTTTTGAAAAAGACCTAGACTGACATATTAAGTGAAATTTGAATTCTCTTTATTCCTTTATATCGGCCTTTATAAAAGGTCACATGATGCAATATGCTAATGCACAACACACCAAGCAAGCCTACCTGTCTATCTCTAACATACTGGATGTACGCATCACCCTTCACACCTCGGACAAAGCCACAGTGAGGGAACCATTTAGCATGTTCCTCCCAGGGTTCATCCTGGGGCTCCCAGTCATAGAGTTCACCACCACACCAGAAACATTTACATCTGTCACCATTACCTGTTAGAATAGAAAAATCAGCAACATGTGAATACTAGTACATGTTTTTATATATATTAGCATGAGAAAAATGCAACAGCCACTGTGGTGTAGTGGTTAGTATACTGGAACGGGCAATCCAGAGATCCATGTTTTAAGTCCCGCTGCAGTGTGCCGCTTTTTCAAGTTATTTTCCTGTATATATATAAAAATTTATTTAACTTATCAATGTTTTGGCATATGCCTTTAATTGGATATAAATATTAAAACAAACAAGAGACATGACGTCATAATAGTTATGTAATGTTAAAATTGCTGAAAATCTTTTACATTACATTACTGTGACCTGTTAACATATGTGAAATTCCTACAACAATGCCATAATATTTGCATAATAAATCAATGATTTACAGTTATAAAACCTTCTTATGTGTAATTTTTGCATTTTGGTTTGGGTTTTATGACACACTTACACGGTAAAGGTTATATAATTATGGCAACTTTCCAGAATTGCTGGTGAGGTAAAAACTCATTCAGGTGCCCCTTCTTGCATTTCTTGCCTGACCCTATACTGTTACATGTATATTATGGATCAGTATACTGTTAATACAGTCAAAGAATTTATGATTAAAAAAAAACACACACGTCACACAAGCTATTCGGGGCAAGCGGAAGGCAATATCAACTAGTCTGATCAGGAACCAGAAAGTGTTTTACAATGTACAAACCAAAAAAGTGTTTAACTTTGACAGTAGTACATGTAAGTAAAATTAAGAATAATCATATGTCAGTTATTTTGTATTTCGTTTGTTTGTTTGTTTCATTTTACGCCTTTTTCCAACAGTATTTCTGTCATATAGGCGGGTAGTTTCCTAACCAATGTTCCTGGAGAGTTACACCAGTACTAAACTACCTTCCTCCGCGCTAAACTACCAAAGCATCTCCCGGGGATCGAACCCACGTTTTAAATTTCTATTTCCTGAATGGAAGGCCAAGGGCAAATCAATTGCTCCATTTTAAATGCAGACATTTCATTTTCAGAAACTAAGGTGATTGACTGCTAATTTTTTCACAGGCCAGTTGGGTTAATTATTAAGAAAATTTTACAGGCATAAGTCTAATTCTTACTAGCCATTGGCACATCTGCTGTTAACACATTTATATATATTATTAACCAATCTTTTAAAGCTATATACAAGTCTAATAAATACATATATATCTGCAGTCTGTAAGCTGTACAAAATATATGTTTATACTTTAAGATTGAACTTTTCCAAAATCAATACAGGGCATGCCATTGGTCATTTTACCAAATTTCATTGATCAACGTATAAGCAACAGTGCATTATACTCATTTTAGTCACTGTCAAGTTGAGCTAAATTATCTAAACATTTCAAAAGATAATCTACAATATGTAATAGTGATTGACCAAAAAATGTTGAAATTGATAATGACAGATGTTTTGAGCGTAAAAAGACTGCTCCACTTTTTTATATCACTTGAACATTTCCAAACTGAATCATAACAATCCTTAAGGATATTTATAGAAAATTTCATGGGCCACATAGGCAATTGATAACAATTATGGCAAAATGTCAAAATATTTTTACTTTTACACCTACTTTAACATTTAGATGGGCATAATATCACTTTGATTAAATATTTTCAGTCATGTCTCTAAATACCCAATTTTTGAAGAAAAAATTATCAATATAATGGATAATTATCATATTAAATAATTATTATCTTATTATCAAATGACTAAAAATATCAATTTCATTGTTATATGCTATTTTATGACATTATCATAAATGTACATGTATAATATTTGTACTGTATGAGCTCTTCTGTTCACATACATATTTTAGAAGGTGTGCAAATGAAACTCATCCCAAACAATAAATCACAATAAAGAACATGTTGTTTTGTTTATTGTTTACCCAACCCATAATCAACAGCAATACTGCACGACAGTAAACTTTGTTTACATTTTTTTCTTTACAAGTAATCTATAATAAGGTTTAATCCCAGCTAGATTTTATCAATGAAATGAACTACGCAAATAAATGTGTCACATAAATGTCATATTATTTCCCCTTTAATCTTAAAATATTTCCCCTTTTAAATTTAAATGACCCGTTACAGTTTAATATTATACCACATTAGATATGCTTCATTATGTACCTCAAGTTCTTTATGCTATAGAAAAATATTTACATTGAATTTCAGTGTCATATGTATACATAGTCACGTAATAAATATATATGAAATTTCGTGCTACAATTAATACAACAATAGTAATGGTAAGTCCATATTTATTGAACTGAAAATAATTTAACTGTCAATGAATTCCTAGCATATTATATGCAAAATGGACTTAAAGACTTAATTAATTTGATTCAGGGATACTAATGGCAGTGTTGATAAATTGTTATATGTCGGCAATTCAAAGATCAATAAAATAAACCTGATCATCTACACAAACACTATAACATGAAATGGTGATATATACAAGTATAATGCAGACTGACCTAATTATTGGAAATTTTCTGGCATGTAAACATTCTGAAACTATTCTCAGAAGTTTCCCATGTAAAAGTACATGTAAAAGTACACCAGTTACAGTTTCATTAATATCCTGCTAAAAAACCAAAAACACTCACATGGGGGAGTCACGCCTTACAACCTACTATAAAAACATGGTTTCTACACAGGTAATTAGTTACAAAAATAATAAAAAAAACCTGAACATCTTCTATTTTAATTAAAAAACGTAACAGTCACCTAAATTTCTGACCACATACCCCTTTGAAATACCCATTTATTCATTGAATATCATTCTTATCATTTGAATTTTGTACAATCGCAATGATTACATTCCATTTTATCATTCATATTTAAAATGAAAATGGTTATATATTACAGTGAATACTGAAAATATTTATTTTCCATTTTAAATACACAAAAAATTACTCGATTTATAAAATATACTGGGTATTCAAGTACAAGATTATGTACAGTAAATCATGTTAATTTCACCAGTGTACCAATATAGAGACAGATCACGATGATGTTATCAGCCAGGGTTATTCCCTGTTTACATACCTTAAATTTACCTGTGTTTACTTTATTACCTTGTAAAATGAATCTGAATGTACAGTAACATTAGATGGGAATGAAAAATAATACTTTCAACTTTCACAAATTACAACCAACTAAGAAAAAACATATATCTAGTTTACACTATAACAACCAAAGTTTTATTTCTTTCCTGGTTCTTATCAATAAATACAAACACAAGACAATGTATACTTCTTGAGTTATTTGTTTACTTTAATAATACAACATTTTATTTTCCTATGTATCTCTAAAAAAATTTCAACTTTTTTTTCCCAATGAATAAACTTTCTATAGTTGAACCAAGTTACACATTACTGGTTTACCAAAAATTTATTTACTGCTTTAATAATAACATTACGTGTTAAACATTTCAAAAGGGAGGATGAATTTTCCTTAAAAAAACAGGAAAAAAATTTCCCTAACTTATAATTGGTTTAACAGAGACCAATATCAAAACTATCTCTATAGTCTCTATAGTTAAGTTTAAAATACTGAAGTGTAAAACAATAGCCTCTTTAGGCCACAAGTATACAATGTATTATGTTTTAATAAGAAATCTAAGCCTTATGATTTGATTTGACATTTTAGCTTCATCACACCAACACATTTTTCGACAGTTGCAAAAATTCATTCTGAAAATAGGTCTGTTATTTTCTCAATACAAAAAGAAAGAAAAACCACTCACAGATCTGACCTTATCCCATCAAGAACATTAACAGATCTACATGTAGATAAATGAATTTTAATGACACTGTTGCAAATGTAATCAAAATAATTAAATACAATTCAGTAAACAAGTACTTATTTCAAAGTGGCCTCGACACACATGACAATTCAACATGATATTCTGACTTAAATGAATACTTATTGTCTTATTGGCAATGATAAAAAAACTTCCCCTTTTAACCTCCCTACTATAATTTATAAACAATATTACATCATATACAATTATGTAAAGCTTTAGAAGAAATGCAAAGAAAGATAGTATTACGAAGTTATTGTAATTGTTAAAAAAACAATAGCATGAGAGATTCTGAGTATCGTTTTATCAAATTGAAAAGAAAACAATGACAAATGATATTATTCATGATGGTATTATTTGATAAACAGCATCATATGACAGCTGGGTTTCCAAGGAATGTAGGAAGACATATTGGTTTATAAATGACCTTGAACCAAATAACGTACAATATGCAAACGATCAACAAAGGAATGGAGAAAATTTATCAAAACATTTGGATGATTGACTCCATCTGACTATATTTATATATTTTGATAGGTTCCCTTAATTAAGTTAAATGAATAATTTCTCTGATCATTATACAATACTTATGCTTCCGAATGAAATTTCATTTCCTTTCACTAACTGGCTTCAATAATTTCCGGATTTTACAATTGTATAGAAACTTAAACAAGGATTTTCCAAATGTACATAAAACTTTAACTTTGTTGGCATAAACGGGCACATGGACAAAAAAAAGTTATAATTATCATGCCAAAATGCCCAAGTATTGATATAGAACTATTCAATATTGAATAGAAAGAATTTACAATGTAATATGACACTGTTATTGTTAAACACACAGTAAAAGAAAATACCCAGACATTTTTTCGCGATTAAGTTACATGATTGTATTAGGTGAACTATATATTGTTAGATTTTATTAACCTGATAATACAGACAATGCACACAATGTATTAATCTTCGACAAATGTTCGGTAAATGTCTTGAAATGTATGCAGTAAGATGTGATTAAATTTAATTTGTTTTGATGAAATAGTTATACTAAACAATAGCGCAATAGGGTAAACTACGGTTTACGATTTCTAAATGACATAGTTACGTTTTGTTAGATCGCAATAGGGTACGTTTTACGATTTCTAAATGACATACGTTTTGTTAGATCAAGACTATGTAAAACTAAATCCATGTTGTTTTTTTTTATTTAGAACTACATTTTTTTTTAAACATAATTGAAACTATCATTGTTTTTTATGTTGTTTTTTTTAATATATCTCGCACATATTTAAGTAAGTCTTTACACTTTTAAATAACATTGTTAAATAATTAAAATACATGTGCATTCGAATTAAACTCAGTAAATGTTATTTCAATGGTGACATAAAATACAATACAAAACAAGACAAATCAGGGTTTCTAAGTTGTTTCATATCCATGTACACAATTTTCAAGCACTTTACCATTTTCATTAAAATAATTACTTCAAAAATAAAGAAAGAGAATATGTCGAAAAACAATGGCAAAAGCAGGATCGAACCACTGACCTCCCATACATTCTCTCATATATTAGGTAACTTCTTAACCCACTGTGCTATAGCAGTCATGACGATAACCCATGAATTTTTCAAATATTAGTTGTATACGTAATAGAAAGAGCATCGAAACACGAGGCTATCTGATTTGTAAGAGGGGGCATTGCCCCGAGTATAAATCAGATTTGCCGAGTGTTTTTGATGTTCTTTCTCTTTTGTATCATAGTCAAAAATAAAAACACGTTCCCTGATGTCACAATATGAAAACCCCAGAAAAAAGGAACCAATGAACGAGCATAGATCTGAATATGATATTTCTGTCACGTCACAATATGTAAACCCCAGACAAAATGAACCAATCAATGGGCATGCTCTGCAGTGCCGCGGTAACTAATACCTGCACTCAAGTTAACGCACCGTGCATGTATATGTATACGATTTAACTCGGACAAATTTTCAACAGAAAGGTCCTAAAACTATGATACAATCAATATTAATTCTCTTAAACTATACGGACAGAGTTAAAGTTGGTATCGAATTATTAAATGAGAGCTATAATGTATTCAAAAATTGACAGGTCAATAAAATCAGACTATATCATAAATGTTTTCTATACATGTATAAATAATTGTTGAATAAGTGTAATATTGATAATGATTTTTTTATCTCTTCCATTATTTTTTATTTATAAATTTCATGTAAATCTGCCCTGAGTGTATCTATTAATAGTAAAAAAATAAGAAAAATGTGTTTTACATACCCATATATATAAAAGTCCAGCTTTTGATAATTCAGTCGGTGTCTGAGACATCTGAGTCGGCCAACCCTTAAATGATCTAACTCTTTTTATATTCATTCACCCCAATCTCTGTACTTCGGTTCATTTGTTGTCACTGCCCAGTACCAGGTTGTCCCCAAAGATGGTCTTGCTGGTAAACTAGCAAGATTTGACCCAAGGGAATTGAGTTCTCCGGGTCTACTATCGATTCTGTTCAAAAAAGAACCATGAGGTGATGGTAGATCCCCATGGTATGCACCTACAGGCACTTTTACTGTTGTGTTAAAAGACTGCGGATAAGAAGGACTTGATGATGCATTTTGTCTCTGTAAAGTTATAACTGATGAATGTAAAGGAATATTACCACACTCGTAACCAAACGCAAACGGACATTCAGGGCAGTGCCTTTTATGCTCATTTTCAACAATATCCCCTACTTCCCAATTTGATAACACTCCACGACAATACACACATTGCGCTCTATCACTTACATGCAGGTAAATAAAACCATTCCGTGCTAAATCTTCCTTTCTGACAACCATATTGGACGGCCAGTCATCAAATGTTTCAAGTCGTTTTGCTTCTGATTTATAGCCATCATAAATGTTTGATATATCCGGAACTATGTCATTATTACTCTTTGTAAAAACAGACACATTTTGCCGACTTTAAACTTGAGTGTCCGGTTTACAAGTGGGTGCTTTGAGAGTAACTATCTCCGATGTTGGCATGGTGAAGAGAAGTTGTGAAGTTTCCATGGGCGGGTCTAGATTCTGGAACAGGTACAGAGTCTTGTTCAAGGTCTGACAAATTATTTGGAATAATATCATACTGTCTTTCTCTGCTATTTGGCCCACTGTCTGACATGTTTTATTGTTGTTGGGGTTTTTGTTGCTGATATTTTTCTTAATTTTCATTCATCTAAAAATATAGAAATAAAATATAGAAACAGTCAAAGTGATATTTAGATTAACAGCAATGTGTTAATCTTAACTTATGCTTCAATCCCTTAAACTTTAAATGGACTCTCCCAAAATCAAAGCAGGGCAAAAACATTACCGCTGTCACAATTTCAGTACGGGTATACTATTAAGTTTAAGTCACTTCACCTCTGTTATCATCATATACATATAATTATGGCAACAGTTTTAAAAGTTTTTCCATTGATATTTATGTATTTGACTCAAAATTTTGTATGAGGCAGCTAGCATCTGATTAACCAAACTATCAGTGTTTCTAAAAGAATAATAGTTAGCTAATTATTCCTTTTGAAAACAGACCAAATAATAATCATGCTTATATATTGAAAGTACATGTGCATGTATCTTGGTAAAGAGGGTCATAATTATATCTGCCAGTTTAAAAAACTAAGAATCAGCAAAAAATTAAGATTATGTTAATCAATTAAGATAATTCACACCAGTGTGTGAAAATGTCATACATGTACATACAGTATGTACATATACATGTACAAGAACCATTCTGTTAATATGGTGATGGTATAACTGATAAAAGTATCCAGAATTCTATCACAAAAGAACTCAATCAACAAACAAAACATTTAACCTCTGCAGTTTTCATTATATTTCACATGTTTAGCACATGAGCTACATGTAGATTTCCTTTCATGTGCAAGTTAACAGCAATTATCTACCATAAAATCCTTGAAAAGCTATGAATATTTATGATCGTTTAAATGCCAATTGGCAGTTCCATAATGCTTTGCCTGGTATAATGTTATAATGGTATTCCCGTATAAATTTCCTATTATTGATTTGCATTGTACCTCGAATAAACCTACAACAGAATACAAATATGTTACTATTTTTGTTCACATAGATACATGTATAATTTTATTCAATGAACTTGTTTACAGTTTAAATAAGTAATTATGATCTTTTGGCAAATATTTTAACTTTCCTCAGGGTGTTCACTAGCCATGAAATCCTGAGGGTCATTTTGACTAAGTTTTACCAACTTCAAGGCCAAATCCCCATGATTTTAACAAAATTTGACACTCCAGCTCAAATCCTGAGGCTCAAATAAGGCCTTTTGGAAATTTGAAGGGTCAAAGAGTCATTTCAAGGGTCAAACGGACACCCTGTTTCCTGGATTAATAACATCCTTGGTGTAAGTTTTTTTTAGAATTTTTTTTTTAAACATTCAGCAAGCAAATACTTCTATAATAATCTGTCCTATAGATTACTGGATAATATGCTCCATGAAATTAAATAACAATTTCATTCTAATGTTCTTTTTATCATGAGTCTCACTTTTTTTAGTTTATATAAAGGCCTTACACTGACTTTGTTTTTTAGCATATCAATGAAAAAAAAACAACACCAAAAGTATTAATTCATGAAAAAGACATTGAATATGCAAAAAAAATCATGTCTTTTTCATGAGTGGTTTGTTCCTTCTCACCATGTATATGTATATATTAGTGTTTGCACAGCCTGTTAACATTTTATTAGGATCTGGGACCAGGTCCTAGCTCTTAAATTTATTATGATGACTTATGTATGCTTTGTTTCATAAAAAGAAGTTTTGTGACTTTTTTGAAAAAAGAATTTACTATGACAATGCAAACAATATAATTAAGACTGTGATTTTGTTAAAAGTTGAGGGTTCAAAGCACATTTAGGCTTCCAGAAGGCAGAATGCATAAAAGTGGGATTACTTGTTAATGTTGTGAAATCCTGAAAGCACTCTCTCATTATCAAAGTTAGTAAAATTTTTCAAACAATGAGTCTACAATATTATTATTGTCCTTGTTAAGACAGGGTGTTGGTCTGACCCTAGTCCAACTAATTGTACTGCGGGATGAGATATTGTGCTATTTTCGTGTTTGGGCAATATCTCACCTCTATGTTAAAGCGAGATTTTGCCCCAGAACAAAAAAATCTCAGAATCAAGCTTTGGCACGTCAATATATTTTGACTAGGTCTGACCCCAGAAATCCAATATATTACCTAATCCTTGTCAAAGACATCAAGATTATTTTCGGAAAGTAGTGCATTTTTCAAAGCCAATTTAGTCTTTTTCAAATTGTTTTACAGTACTGTATGAAAAAAGTCTTTGAAATGGGTCAAACCTTTTATGCTGCATTAATTAGGTCAGGAACATGGAGTCTTAATCCAACTTGGACGAATCATTACCCCAACAAATTGTGTGATAGGGCTTCTTCACCCTTCACTGTCCCTGCAAACACAGATGTCTTCGTATATCATATTTTTTGTAAAATCATTCAAACTAGCAGTCAAAATATTAATAAGACTACATCAAAATAAGTAGGAACATCAAAATAAGAATTAAAATATTAATTGCTCATCATCCAAAATCAAGAATGATTCTGTTTGTGAAAAACAATCATATATATCACTCTAACAATAATAATTGATAATTTTAAGCATGTTTGATATCATTATTTGACAGTGAGGTGAAACGTCATTACTCCGCCGTCTCCGGGACGAATAGTCATTGGGGCGAATCGTTGCCACTTATTATGATATACGTAACTTATTCTGCTTAATTTCAGCAAATCATCACTTACATTAAATAAAGCTAAAAAGAAACAAAGAAAAAAGTATACAAACTTTACCTTCTGGATGGAGTTTAACCCTAAAAAGGCTTCAAATACCACAAATTTGGAAATCCTCAAGGTATTTCCAAGATCTAAAAATAGAATCATGGGTAATTACTATTCTCCGGTCTCCTATCGGTAAATCCCGGTCTCTCCCGGACTATTTTGACCGGATTTTACTAGAGACCGGCGAATAGTATCACACGTTTATTTTCCGGTCTCTCCCGGTTTAGGAATAGATACTTTATTTGATTTCGTGACAAATAAATAAGTTTTTTTTCTCCAAAATTGAATGTTTGTCACTAATTAAGTTTGGTTACAATAATTAATTAACACAGATCATTTCTCAAATTGATATATTAATTAGATCTATTATTAGATCTGTTATAATTATAATATACATAAACTTTCAATTCTAAAAATAATAGAATCTAATAACATTTTCATTTTATTTATGTATGATAAAAACAATAAATACATACAATCATTGAATAAAAGGGTACATTTTTTTTATGGTATTGATAAATCATTTTATTTAATTTGCTATTCGCGTTTAGTAAAGAGAGTCTAAGTTAGAAAGTAGAAATTTATGAATTATTTAATTGATTGATATATTTTTAAAATAATAATAATAAATAAATGGTTTAAGGTTAATGAATATAATATTTTGAAATATTAATCATAATTTACTGACTTTTTTCAGTTAATTTTAGATAATTTTCATAATCGTTGGTCAACATGACAATTGAATTTTTATAATTTATATAATAAAAAATAGTAATAAACGTAATAAGTCAGTATTAAAATAGCACATAAAACACTTAAAAAAAAGAAAACATTTTTCATAAAAGATGAAGAAATGGACATATTAAAACAGATAAGACAATAACTGTATTTTAAAACAATAATGCTCAACATGATCAACATGATAATTTTATCAGTGTCATATTTTTACTAAGTGTGAACAGATATATGATGGAGACTTCGCTAATAGAGATTACATAATAAGGAACAATAAACAAGTGTGGCGTTGATCATGCGATACACAAATAGTTTATGAATGATTATATATGACCGTTGCCATTGAAAATCACGATATTACATTGATGAACATAAAAAAACTAACAATTTAAGTATAAATTAAAATTCTATAATTTAAAAGAGAAGACTGTTGCATAATTTGTTTTGGACAAAATCGGCATTACATATCGTCAATCATTTATAATTTTAACAACAACACAGAACATATATACATCAACATTATGCACAAAAAGCAATTATAAATAATGACATACATATCTTATATACATATAATATAACATTATAAATGTATTTTATCATTTACAAAATGTAAAAAAAAAAAGGCAATGTAACATATGATAATGATAATGTTTTATTCATATAACGAAATATTTAATTAAAAAACAATACAATGCAATACAACAACAACAAAAAACAAGAGCATAAAAGTCAATTAATTAATATCTTTGAAATTATTTTATATATATTTATTTACTTAGTTAGCTATAGATCTACTTATTTTGTTATTTCAAACTTTTTCATCTTATACTTATTTTTGCCCTCATTTAGGTATTTATTATTCATCTTTTTATTCACTTGTTATTTTTTTTTATATTTAGTGCATTCCCAAGACAAGTTTTCAAGCGATTTTCTTATATTCTTTTTGTTTCCAACACATCTATGATGATACCATTTTCTACATGTTCTGATACCACAATAAATTAGATTGTCTACAAACTCGGGCATTTCACATGAGCAAAAAGTTTTAATTTTAAATATTTTAGGGATGCCTGTTCAATACAACTAATATGCGGTTACATCTATTAAATTTCTTTCACTGTTTGATCTCAATGAAGATAATAAAACAAAAATACTATTTATTTACCATTTAATTGTTTAATATTTTTTAATTGAATTATTTTTATCTTTTTAGATATTGCCATCATTTGCTGTATATTTTCTATTTACAGGTCGGATTATTTTTTTCTTTGATCTATATTAGTCGTTATAATATTAATGCTGCACTTATTTATCAAATAATGAAAAAAATACAAACCGCTTTAAAATTAAACAATTAACAGACTCCCCCGTAATTAATATGCTTTTTCATTTACAACATTTTACGCTCACGTGAATTAATATATCTTTTCCCGTTTTACGCTTTTACATTTTTATCTATAATTAAAAACAACAAAAAACACAAAATAAAAACGAAAATTTGCTGAATTTCAAGGCTTTATTTTTAAAACATGATACTTTTCATTTTACACATACATGAGCCACCTTGTGTTTAAAGTGTAATATGAGACCTGTTAAATTTATATAAATGTATACATGCGCATGCTTAGAAAGAAGTAGCTAGACAGCACCAGTATTAAACTTGCAGTCATATAACATAAATTAGAGTTATACGTCCGTTGTCTACTCAATATTACATGGTGTCAGAAGTGGTATTAAAAGATGTCTGCACAGATCTGTATTGGAAAGCTATGGAAAGCCATGGCTTGTGCTTTTACCATTTGAATAATATATACGGTATAAGTTCACTTCGACTATATATATGAATTAAAAAAACAAAAACAACTAGAAATCTAAATATTAACCCATTACTGCATGAGCATTTTGTGAAAAATGGCTGTTTTCATTGAAAAGTCTCCCGTTACAAGTTTAAAATGCTATAAAACTCTAAAAACTGCTTCAATACCACAGATATTTTTAACTCCATGTTCAATACTAATCAAACTTGGCACAAATGTTGACTGGACCATTGCATGCCTTGTAACTTTAATTTCCGGTTACCATGGCAACGAGGGGACATCTCAAAATTGCCAAAAATCACTATTTTGCGTTGATTTTTCCATCAAATTTGAATTCAAAGTCCTGCAACTTCTCAATGGATTTAGATAGAGCCAATTAAAGGCTTTTCAGCGTTGGTTACACGTTACCTTTTGATTGACCTGGGGTCATTTTTAGCCTCTCACAAGTTCAAAATTTTCTTGGCGATGAGGGGGACCGCCGCCCCCTTTAAACCCACCAAACAGAAGGGGACACATCCCTCTTCTGGCAATCCCCTGATGTACTGTTTTGACGGGGGCGGCGCCGAAAAAGTGGTCACTTTTATCAACATTTCTCAAACGAAAGCACGTGTTTGGGGCCCAAACATGACATTTTTTCACTGTTCGTAAGAGAGAGAGAGGGGGGGGGGGGGGGGGGGGAGGGAGGTCGAAAGTGCGTTGTTTCACATATATATACATGGTTCCATACATTGCTACTTTGGTACAATATATTGAAAAACTGGTAAAACTGGTATCATATAATGTGATAATCAACTTATATATTTCTACTTTCGTTCAATACACCGATAAAAATGGTTTCATATAATTATTGTAAAGATGAATTAATACTTTGATAATTCAGTTTCATATAAGGACACCTGGTTCCATACATAATTAGCTTGGTACCATACGTCGAAGAATCGGTAATATATAATGTGAAATCAGTTTATTTATTGATACATTGAAAAATTGGTTTCATATATTGAAAAACAAATTAATATATTGATAATTCGGTTTCATACAAGGATATCTGGTTCCATTACATTGCTACTTGGTACAATATAATGAAGAATTGGTATCATATATTGAAAATTATATCTTATATATTGCTTCCTTGGTTTAATACACTGACAGTATGCATGGCTTCATATATTGTAATTGTGGATTGATATAATGGATTCCAGTTTGATAAGAAGGTGTTTTTAATTCATATATATGTCGCAGGGTTAAATATTTCTGGACTTGAGGATCACAGAAACAAACTCTGGGCGTATAGGTTTGATGTCAATAAATCCAAGTAAAAAAGGTCTAAGAAGATAATAAAATAATTATACATCTTACAAGTACAATACATATAGAAGCAAAATTTTGTACCTTTACAAATGTTTCCTACATCTTTATTGAGTGATGCAATTTTTTGTCAAGATAATGTTTATTGAGTAAGATTGAAAAGTAATTATTGGAGATTTGTGTCAGATATTTTCGCTTATTTATAAATTGACCGTCATTGAAAGGAAGCTCATTAAGCTCTTGTGAATGCGGTTGTGCTTTACATTTTTTTGAAATTACATAGATTTATATTGTTGTTTTTCTTTGTCTTAGTAATGCTTAAATCAAAATGATTTTTAATAAACCAGTATCTTGCAATTAATTATTACGCGGCCGTTTTTCGAAACTACCTGAACGAAAATGGTACTACTATTAGAACAAATCGTTAACCTTATTATCATTTCACCATCCTTTTTATGTAATATCTTACTCAATTACACAAAATTTTGGCAATTTCAATCTTACAAGAGAAAGGATTAAGATCTTTATATCCCGTATCCCCCAATGACGTCATCCAAGGGCGACAAC